CTAGTCTGAGGACGATTTTTGTTGCATTTGTTGCCTATCTCTGGATATTGATTGCGTATTCCTAATTTTTCGTCAACAATCCTTTGTAGGGGGCATGCCCGACCGAGGCCACAACAGGCGTGAAAACCCGCGGCGGCGCGCAGCAACAGAGCCCCCCCGCCCGTCTGCGGCTGGTGGTGGGCCTCGCGCCGTTTCCGTTCGGGAGCCTTGAGAGAGACGGGGGGCAATGCAAACGGTGGTCAATGTAAACTCATCCCTCCTCCTCCCTTCTCCGTCCTCCTCCCTCATCATCTCTCCTCCTCACTCCTGCTCCCCTTCTCTGTCCTTCTCCCTCCGTCTGCTCCTCCCCTCTCCACTTTCCCTATGAGTAACTCCTCCCTGTCGCACCCCGAGGCTAGTCGGAAGGGGCGGGCCGGGCGTTTTGCTCAAGACTTCCTTCGGGTTCCTTGAGACAGAGATCAATACAAACGGGGGTCAGCCAGAGCGCCGGATTGCAGGGCCAGGGTCGCATTGACCCGGATTTGAGCGCAGGATCCTGCAGGATCTTGCAGGATCCTTCGCGTTGACCCGGGTTAGGGTGCAGGATTTTGCAGGATCTTGCAGGATTTTGCAAGGCGTGACTGACCAGTGTCTGGGTTGACCCGGGTTAGAAGATCCCCGATCCGCGACGTTTTTGGCTTCAGGGGCCTTCGCGAGGCTCTGGGACCGTTAAAACATGACTCGCGATGAAAGTTGGTCTTGGGGAAAGAGTCGGGATGTCTTGGGATTGGTGAGCGTTTTGTTATTCAAGACGCTTCGCGTTCACCGCCCGCCCATTCCAGTTCTCGCCGGACGAGGCGAAGACGGCTCCATGACGGGATAAACATAGGCAGGAATTCATACAAGTCGTGTGCTTTGTTGTTTTTGTCCCGCGTTCTCTCTTCCTATGCTATCGCCTACTATGCTCAGGCATGCCCCGTGGTTGTTCGACAGTAGGTTTGTCGTACTTGCTACTGTTAGCGGTGGTGGTGCTTCGGCTGGTGTTGCTGCTGGTGTTGCTGTTGTCGCTCCTGCTGGTGGTACGGTGCAGTGCGGGTGCCGCTGCTGCTGTTGCTGGCGATGGTGCTGATGGTGCCGGTGTTAGTGCTGCTGCTGCTTGTGGTGCGCTTGTGCAGTCGACTGATCCGATGGTAGGGAAGGCGGCATGCTCCCGTGGTGGGTTTGTGTCATACGGTGGCGTGGCAGTCTCGTGGTTTTGTCGCGCTTGCGCAGTCGATTGATCCGATGGCAGGGAAGGTGGCTCTTGGAGTGGGTTCTCCAATGGCTGACCAGATGACTGGCCCGTGGCGTGCCGTGGTAGATGTCTGGGTGCTTGTCCCGACGGTTGCCCGGATTCTTTTCCTGTTGCTAGTCTCGGCGGTTGCCCGAGCGGTTGGTTGCCCCGACGGTTGCCCTGGCGGTGATCCGGCCGGCAAGGCGCCAAGAAGGGCCGAAGAGGAACCCGAAATGGGCCCCAAAAGAGGCTAAGAAGGCCCCGAGGCGGTCTTGGAGAAGCCCAGGGCGGCTCAAGCGACAGCACTTCCGCGTTGGGTCGCAACCGCGTCCGTCTTGCAGTAAAAACCGAGCGGGGTTTGACCTGCTTTGGGGTTCCTTTTGCGGCCCAACATGGGCCCCGCAGCGTCCAAAATGGACCCCGGAGCGCGCCCAAAAACGGCGAACAAAGGGAGTAATGAAAATGACGCACGCGAGCCCGGAAGTCAACTGTAAGCAGCGTCCTGGACAGCCCCAGGGAAGCCGAAATCAGGCCAAAACCATCGTATTTGCTATGTTTTTTTGACATCCCCACGTGTCGGCGAGAATGAGCCAAAGAGGCGCTGTCGAGGGCTGCGGGGGCGGATCTTGGAGGCCAAGAAGGGGCCCCGACGGGGCCGAAATGGATCCCACAGGCGTCTGGCAGCGTCTTCAGAACGATGCCAAGATCGAGCTTGTCTTGGACGCCGTCGTGGAGCCGTTTTGGAAACCGCAAAAAAGGCATTGCCGCAGCCGGGCGGCGGAATGGCGGAGGCTTCTGGGGGGGGGGAAAGGGGGGGGCTAAAGCTGTGTAATTAAATCTCACACGCCCCTCAGCCCGGTGGGCGGGCGGATTTAATCGCTTCGCTCATTCCGCCGGCCCATAATGTCGCACCGTGGTCGCCTGTCCGAGTGGTCGTTTGCAGTGTGGAGCTGCGGCGTCGGGAGCTGTGTAGTCTTGGGGGCGTTCTTGGGGCCCTCTTGGGCCGTCCTGGAGGCCTCTGGGGCCGTCTTGGAGCCGTCTTGGGCCGTCTTGGGGCCTTTTTGAGGGCCTCTTGGGCCCTCTTGGGGCGATCTTGGAGGCCTCTTGAGCCGTTTAGGGGCGTCGGGGAACCGAAAAGGTTGAAACGCTCAAATCTGTCCAACACCAAAGGAAAAGTATAGGTTTTTGCCTCTTGGGGCCCTCTTGGGAGTTCTCTTGGAGGCCTCTCGGGGAATCTTGGAGGCTTCTTGGGCCATTTTGGAAACGTCTTGGGCCGTCCGGAGGCCATCTTGGGCGTCGTGGAGCGATCTTCGGGCGTCTCGGACCTCTCTTGGACCGTGTTGGGGGCGTTCTTGGGGCCCTGTTGGGCCGTCTTGGAGGCCTCTGGGGCCGTCTTGGGTCGTCTTGGGGCCCTTTGGAGGGCCTCTTGGGCCCTCTTGGGGCGATCTTGGAGGCCTCTTGAGCCGTTTAGGGGCGTCGGGGAACCGAAAAGGTTGAAACGCCCAAATCTGTCCAAAACCTCAGAAAAAAAAGCATGGATGTTTGCCTCTTGGGGCCCTCTTGGGAGTGTTCCTGGAGGTCTCTTGGGGCATCTTGGAGGCTTGTTGGGTCATCTTGGAGACGTTTTGGGCCGTGTGGAGGCCATCTTGGGCGCCGTGGAGCGATCTCCGGGCGTCTCAGACCTCTCTTGGATTGTGTTGGGGGCCTCTTGGGGCCCTCTTGGGGCGATCCTGGAGGATCTGGGGGAGTGTCCCGGGCTCCGCCCGAGCTCCGCCCGGGGCTTTTTTGATCCACGGACCCCCAGGGGCCGCCCCGCGCGCGCGAACTAGAAATATTGTTTACCAGTTACCGGAGATCTTAGCACGCCTCTGGCCCGTTGGGCCGGCGAATTCATTGTTTTGCCGATCGGCGCGGGCCCTCGTACCCCCCCCTCCCCCTCTCTGGAGTAGATGTTGGCTGTTTTTGGGCGCCTGTTTCGGGCAGGTGGAGTCTCCCCTCATACGACGCACTGTCGCAAACAGTCGCACTAAGCAGAGGGTCGGAGCCAAACCCCCCCTTCCCCACCTTCCGCCAAATGCCGAAACGCGTAGTAAAACACACGCTCTCTTGCGTATGGGAGAAGTAAAGACATCGCATGCTTGCGGGACGGCCCTTGAGCGCATGGGCTGACCGGCCCCCGCCGAGCACCCGGGGCGAAGCAGAAGAAGAGAAGACAGCACAAACATGGACTGTCGGAGGTCCGCGTGGCCTTCCTGGATCTGCGCCCAGCCCACCTTGACGGCGCCTCTCGCGCCGCCCCTGCTGCGCTGCGCGCGCCAGGCCCCAGAGCGAATCCAGAGGTGCTTGTCTTGCATCGACCAGGCCCCTCTAGAGGAGGATTTTCCCAAAACAGTCAATCCATAGTCTGTGGGCGATGTCTCTATGATTTGTCGGCTGTGTTTGGGTATGTCTTGCTATTTCTAATTTTTCGCCCAAAATCCGCCTGGAAGGGGGACGCGCCCGACCTGAATCCAGAGGTGCCTGCACCTCTGGGCACGCAGCGGCGCACGCGCGTGGCTCGCACATTCAGCGCTCGCTCGCTCGTGCGCTCTCCTTCCGCCCGGTCGACGCGGAGGAGCTGACCTATCTGGCGCTCGCTCCCGCATCGCCTGCTCTCGGGCCCCCCCGAGAAGTGTGGTGATCAAACCTCGTGCTATGACGTTGCAACCTACTTTTTAGCCGTGAGCACAAGAATGAATTTTTCGAGCACCAAGAAAGTACTGAAACTCGCGGGTTTCCACGTGTCGGGCTTTGGGAGGCGAGACTCGTTCGACGCTGTTTCGATATTGTTCGGGGTGCTCGAAATCATTTCTGGGATGTTGTCCTCAAGTATGATGGGAGCAGTATGAACCTTGTGGTGAGTCAGCATGGATTCGGGGTGACTGCACGGTTTTGGGACTTGTGTCCTTCTCCGAGGACGTCTCGGGCGACGGGGGCCTCCGTTGCCCCAAACACCGCACGGCGACGGGCCGTGCAGCGAGGGACCGTGCGGTGAGGTCTTCGGAGATTTCGAGGCCACCGCACGGTCTGTCATTCCCGCGCCCTTTTGGGACCGCCCGCGCAGTTCCCGAGAGATCCGACGCTGCGAACAAAGATGCAAGATCCCGAATAATCACGACCGGAATCTTGCGGCGGGTGGGCTAAAAGTGTCCACACGCGTCTCGCCAAGACCTTGAGATGTCAAAGCACGTCGGACCAGAATGTATATCCCCCTTCCTGCAAAATTCAAGGTTGACGGGTGTGGGCGGCAGGCCGCAGCTTCAGTGTTGGTTTCGGGGCGGAAGGGTGCGGAGCAGTGGCATTTCGCAGTCGTGATGGTCATCATGTTGCATCGCATTGCCGTCATGGGTGTGAACATTTTTTGTCCGGGCACCGTATACCCAATCTTTTTGCATCCGTTTTCGAGGAGGAGGAGGAGGAGGAGGAGGAGGAGGCGGAGGAGGCGGCCCCGATCAAGCGCCGGGCCACGCCGAGAACACCAGGAGGAGGAGGAGGAGGAGGAGGAGGAGGAGGAGGAGGAGGAGGAGGAGGAGGAGGAGGAGGGAGGAGGAGGAGGAGGAGGAGGCGGAGGAGGAGGAGGAGGAGGAGCGGGACCCATCAGTGATGGGCCCGGGGCCCGCAGCCGGGCGAGCACGCCCCGCGTGGACAAGATTGCAGCGCCCTGAGCTCATGGGGCGTGCGTTCGCTCGCGCGTGCTGCCGGCGCCGACCGTTCGCTACTTCGATCGGTCTCCTCGCTGCTCGGGACGATCGAGATGGACACGTCACCACCCACCAAACCGCCCCAACCCAACCCGAAGGCCTCAATTTGCCCTCCATTTCCAGTGGGGGCGGGGGGCCAGGAACATCGAAAAAACACATGTGGAACCCTTACCCCCCCCAACCCGAAATTCGGGTCTTCGGGTTGGGTTGGGGTGGTCTGGTAGGTAGTCAGATCGGTCTCCTCGCTGCTCGGGACGGTCGAGATGGACACGGGAAGGATAGGGGGCCACCTGCGAGCCCTACCCCCTGCCCCCCACGAGCTCTGAGGGGGAGGGTGGGGTTCGCTTCGCTCGGGAGCTCCCGAGCGAAGCGAACCCCCGAGCGGTGCGGTCGTCCCAGTTAGACGCCCCCGACGTTCGCTCGATCTCGCCACGGCCGCCCGCGCGGAGGAGCTGACCTCCGGCGCGGACCTCGCGCGCTACGAGGCCGTGCGCTTCGTGCAGGACGCCCGCGGCGGCGGCGGCCTGCCCGCGGCCCGAGTGGCGCCGCCGTGGGGCTCTCTCGTGGGCAACGTTAGGGGGTCAGGGTCCATGGCGATCCGATCGATCCGCTTCGATGCCGACTCCGGCCGGCCCCGTCCGATTCGATCCCGAGGTTCGGTCGATGCGATTCGGCCCGAGGCCTGCACGGCGCTGCTGTGCGCCTTGGTGCGGCCGATGCGGTTCTGACTCCGTGCGGATGCGGCCCGATGCGATTCGGGGGTGGACAGAACCCCCAACAGTGACACGTCGATTAGTGAATTGTCCGTTTTCGGTTCTCGAGAGGGCGCCGCGGACGTTATTTTCCAGGCTTGCGCCCGCCAGGTTTGGGCCTCAGGTCGTTTTCACTAAACCACGTTTTACTAAAGGGAGGTCTGTCCATCCCCGACCGATGTCCGTTCCGAGTCGACCCGATTTCCCGAGTCGATGCTGGCCGATCCTGGAGTGCGCTCAGGGGCAGCGTCAGGGGAGGGATGGTTTCAGGGTTGGTCTCCGGGTTTGCAGGCTTCTTCGTGGAGCCCTGGCGGTCTCTCCGCCTCGGGAGGCGTTCCAGCAGCTGCGCCTCGCCGAAAGCTTTCTGGGGGAGCCTGGATCGCCCCGAGCGGCCAGCGGGGACCCGAGCCAGGACCCGACAGCCATGCGGTTTTTTGTGGGCTCCCTGCGGTTTCTCCAGCCTCGGGACGCTTATCCAGCAGCTGCGCCTCGCCGAGGGCTCGGCATCGCTCGGACGTGTGCATTTTTCTCCTGCGGCGAGGGCCATCGAGGAGCATCCTCGATCATTTGGCGGAAAAACCACGCACGAAACCGAAGAAAACACAGGGAATGGACGTCCGAGCGATGGCCAGAGGGCGTTCCAGGGGTTCCTGGATCGTCCCGGGCAGCTTCTGGAGAGCCGAGACGTGGCCCCCAAAAACCAGAGGGAAACATTCGGATGGGAAGAGCTCGGGAGGAGGACACCTCGACCTCCCCAATCGCCCATGCATCGCCGATGGGGGCCCGATTGGCATGCGGACTGCCCATGCCACCCAGAAACCTGCGGCTTCCTAATCGGGGGCAGATTTCCGGCCTATCAGCGATGCATCGTCCATGCCAGGTCGATGTCCCCCCCCTTTGACGGTTCCCCGGCTGAGAACGCTCTGATGGGAAACGGTGAATTCATCCAAAGCCAATTCGGGACAATAGTTCGTGCAAGGCGCACCGGTTGTGTGGCATGAGCCTGGGAATCAGGGAAGAGCAGAGCAGTTCTCCTCTTGAGCGATCGCAGAGGCAGGGGCAAAAGGAGGCGGAAATGTGATTAGGAGGGGGAGGCGTAAAAGAGAGCGCGGCGTGGCCTGTCCAATCGTGCAGTCAAGTAGCTGAACTAAGGACCGCTTTGAGCTCAGGAGAGGCTCGGGTTTTCGGGCCGTCGTGGATCCTCGTCGTGGCCGAGGCTCGCCGTGACCAGAAAGGGCCCTTCGTTGCTTACTCGGCATTCCGTATGGTAGCACGATGGCTGTAATGCCCAGGAGGGAAAAATAACACAGACACAATTAATCGTCGATTCTCCAGAAAAAATGTGGAAATATGGGAAGTGGGGGGGGGGAGACAGAAACCAAGAAACTGTAGGAAAATATAGGGATGTGTCTTATTTGTGTGTATTTCTTTGTGTGTCCTTGGGCCCCTTCAGATGCGTGCGTCGATGCAGCAGTGCAGGTCACCTCCAGGAGCGCGAGAGCAGCCACGCTCTTCGCGGGTCGTGGTCGGGGCCAGAGCTGCTGCACCGTCCCAAGGGGGGGCGGCGCGAGCGCGCCACGGCCTCGTCGCTCATCGATCGTCGCTCGTCGCGCCACGATCTCATCGCTCGTCGAGCGCTCAAGCGCGCTCGTCGTCGCGCCACGATCTCATCGCTCGTCGATCGATGGCTTGAATCCAGACCTCCAATTGGAAGACTCATGCCGGTGGTTTTCCCCACACGCTTCGTGGTGGTGGT